ATATCAAGCTTGATCATCAAGAAGTCAAGAAATTCAAAAGTCAACTTGAAAAGTCAAGATTTCCAAAATTTAGAAATTTTCTGTGTTTTTATACATGATAATTTCATCACTTCATGTCATTCTTTCACCAAGATGCAAGACGGTTCAAGGGAAACTTTCAACATGGAAGTTGTAGAACTCCATGATATCTACAACATTTCTTTACATAACTTTTCCTAGAAGTGCTTGGATTTTGAGTTATAAATTCATGAAGTCATGACAGTTTCATTTAACACTTAGAGAAATTTTGAACAGGTTTTGTTCAGGATTTTATCCCAACTTATTGGCATTTTTTCACATAGTTCCAAGATGATTTTGTCAAAATGGCCAACATGAAGTTATAGAGGTTGTTTCAAGCTTTCCAAAACATCCAAGAGCATGAATTTATCATATTTGAGCTAGGAGATTCAAGGGCGTGAAGTTGAGCATCCATTATTGAATTGCAAGTCATTTTAGTGAAGAACACATAACAAAAACCCTTTTGATTTGCTGCATAATCTTATGTTGCAGGCCTCCTTTCTTGAAAATATCATCATAATTTAATGCTTACACCCACTCTTGAGCTATTACCCAAGGGTTTAAACCATTGCCCAAAAGATCTTTCCATTTATGGCATAAAGGCACCATTACTATTCTTGAAAAGCAAGCTTTTTGTACAAAGCTTGTCTTAAGCCCATACCTTGCTTGATGCTGATTATACTCCACCATAAATCATGGGAAGTAGCTTCTTTATACCAGCAACTTTGGTACTTCATCTTGGGACTATGGAGTACTTGACTTAGTTTGATCTTTGTAATCCAACCAAACCATAGCATGCTGTCTTGCAAACCTAGTCAGCTCATATGCACAAACCCCTTGCCTATAAATAGAAGAAGCATTTGCAAGAGAAAGAGGTTGGGAAAAGTATAGAAAAATAGAGAGAGGTTGGAAAAGGTTAGAAAAATAGAGAGAAAATCCAGAAGTCTTGTTGTAAACTAGCCATCAAAAACCAAAACTGTCCAAAAAAGCTTCCACTCTTGAGTTTTAAAGTCCAAATATTTGGAACTCTCACACCTTGTAAGCTCTGTCTAAACATCTAAGCACCTCACATACATCACCTAGAAATTGTTCAAACTTAAAAACAAGCTTCTACAACACCTCTGTTTTCTCTTCCAATTTCAATAACAGTCAAGACAACAACTCAAATTCAGAGTATAAAGATCCAACCCCAAGGTAAGTTTCTTGACTTTAGTAATTCATTTTTGAAGACAAAAATGTAGTAACCATTGTCCTTCAAGCTAACCTTTTGTTTATCTTCCATTCTTTTCATTATGTGTTGAAAACTAACCCATGTATGCAGCAAGACAATGTTGAAGTAGAAAAAATGACAGTATGAGTCGACACATAGCCTTATGAGTCGATACATACTTCTTTACAGGCCTAAAACAGAAGGAAAAACAATGTATGAGTCAACACATAGCCTTATGAGTCGATACATACTACTTTACAGGCCCAAAACAGAAGGAAAAAACAATGTATGAGTCGACACAAAGCACGTATGAGTCGACACGTGTAGTGTATGAGTCGACACATACCATTATGTATCGACTCATACTGAGTTGATTTGGTAATACAAGGGCAAGGAAAGTTATGTGTCGATGCATGTGAGCTTGTGTTGACACATAATAGTTTAAAATGCATTTTTTTCCTTCTTTTTACACTGTTTTTACGTTTCCTTTATGGTTATTCGATATGGTTGTAATATTCAAGTTCCTACTTCATCCTTATTTGTAAATTGTACCCTCATCCCCTAAATGATGTAATAGCGTAGGACTTTACATTTCCACAACTTATCGCTTTAATATAACTGTTAGTAATTAGAGTTTTGTATGGAAAGACTAAAACCAATCAATAGAAAACCCTAATCAAAGACAAAAACTACGCATGTAAATCAATACACTTGCACCCAAGCACCCCTAGGGTAAACTGTACTTGGTTGCCTTATACAAAATGGTCATATTACGCATGTAAGGTATCTTAGCAAAAACAAGCAAATACAAAGATCATAGTCCCTCGATGACGCTATCTAAGTTGCCTTACAAATGATCTTAGTCCCTCAAAAAAGAATGCTAAGATACCTTGCAACATTGCTAATCATGGCTATACGATGACCCACGCCCGTCCCGCTTACATCCAAAGATAGGTTTGCTTACCAAATCAATGGTAAGACAACAATGTCAAAGTAAAAGAAAATGAACAAGAAAAATATTTGAGTAGGTAGATTACTCCTAATTACTTGCTCCATTTCAAAACAAACATCCTTGCTATTTTCAAAAATAATCACCTACACTTTCAAAAACACCTTTCAAACTTGAAAACGTTTTCAAAAGATCAACACTTTGTATACATTCTTACGAACGAGAATCATTACAAAGTTTGTCTAAACGATGGCGCCTTTTTCAAAAAATCACACGAAGCACAATTTCAAACAAAATCAAGTGATCTAGCAAGTAACTAAGAGCCCATGGAAAATCATGGATAAAAAGGGTGCTAATACCTTCCCTTTTCATAATCTACCCACGAACTGAAGAAACAATCTCAAAGGTCTTTCTTGTGCTTTTTCACCTTTCCTTTCGGATAAAAGAAAAGTCGGTGGCGACTCTTTCTAACCGCAACATTTGCGATCAAATGCAAAACCCTGAAGTCAGTTCTCCCACCGTATCACACTTACCGCAATATTTACGAATAAAAATGCAAAACCAGTATAACAGTCGATTCGGCCACCGTATCACATATAGCAATAAAAATAGCATTTGAAATAAATATTTTTAATCTTAAAATAGTTCTTACATAATTTTCAAATATAAGTAATTTAAGTTGGTCTTAAAAATTAATATAGCATGCAACAATCATCTATATTTATATCTATATCTCTATCTATATAATCTATATTTATATAATATATTAAGGTCAATGCATCAAATATTATAACAACACATCAATTATAACTCTAATATATCATCAAGTAAAACTCTAAAATTTACCACATCATCCTATTGTCCTATGTGGCACATTCTAAAACTCATTTTCATCATATACTTTTACAAATTTGAGGTCACAGGTTTGAACCCTTGCAAAGACGAAATAAAATATCATTTTAAATAAATTGATCTAACAAACTAATCATTAATTCAATTATGTATATTCCTTTAAATTAAAAATATTCTTTCATATTTCAAATATAAAAGAGACGTAGAAATTCAAATACAATAAAAATGTTTTTTGTTTTAATAAATTATAGCAATAAAAGTAGCACTTGAAAAAAATATTTTTAATCTTAAAGTAGCTCTTACATAATTTTCAAGTATAAGTCACTTTACACTTATTTAAAATATAATATAGTATGCAAAAAAATTTATGCTGTCTATATACTTTATACTATATTTTTTATATAATATCAAATAGTAAACTAATGACAAATGACAAAATACTATATAAAAGAGATAAGAGTATAATAAAATATTTTTATCTTATTTTAGACAAAATGGTCTAATTAGCAAGTCAATCATTACTCCAACTATGTATATATTCTCTTATATTAAGAATATTTCTCTCAAATTTTAAAAATAAAAGAAATATCAAAATCCAAACACAATAAAATATTTTTTGTTTTTCTGAAATTATAGCAATAAAAATGACACTTGACATAAATGTTTTTAATCTTAAAATAATTCTTGCACAATTTTCAAATATAAATACTTTAAGTTGGTCTTAAAAAATAATATAGTATACAACAATCTTATAAAATTCGACAAAATAGACATAAATTTAATAAAGTTATTGAAAGTTTTATTTGATAATAATTATAAATAAATTTTTAATTTTATTTAAAACCAAAATAAAATACATATATCTAACAAATTAAAGTAAAATATTTAAATAAAAGATAAGTAAAAAAAAACATGAGTAAAAACAAAACAAAAAAAGTACTTTATAGATACGTAAGTTTGCAAACCTAAATTACGGACATCACTATCAATTTACACACGTATTTTCTTTTCAAATAAAATGTATATTTGTCTATGTGATTAAATTATATTATTATCTCTATTATAATTCACAAAAAAGTTTATAATATAAATTTAGTAATCATATTTTGTCGAAACCAACTTTTAATATATTTAAATTTTAATAAAAATGAATAAATTAATTTACAATGGTGCATCGCGCGGGTCTTAATCTAGTTAATATTACTTATAAATCATTGTCAGTCTTTGTTCTCTTCTTATATGCTTTTGTTTAGCTAATTTTAAACACTAATGAATATTATTATTATACACCAAAACTTTTTCCAATGTAGATTTAGTGCGAAAGACATTAAAAGATATTTTAGTATTTCTAATTATTTTAGATAATTTAATTATTAAATCTATTTTATTAGGACTTATGTGGCGTTCTCTTTTGTATATAAATAGATTAATTATAAATATAAAAAAAATAATAACAATATTTATTTCTCTTGCCGCTTTTACAACCGTCATTCTCTTTACTCGCTTAAATTTATTCTTTGTTAATCATTGATTATTATACACTAACAAAAATAAATTTATTAAAGAGCATTTGACAAACAAAAATAAATTTATTAAAGAGCATTTGACAAAAGATAGCAATCACTTTTGAAAGAGTAAAACTTCTTTCAAAATCAATATTTATGTACCAAATCGAAAGAGTTATACATTTATTTATATTTAGTCCAAATTTACATACCACGAGAATATATCTCAACTTTGTTAAGATATATTATGCGAGGTGATTGAAACTGAATGTGAATACAAGAATATAAGGACTTCCATATGAAAGAAAAAATTGCATGCGAGACATGCAACCAATAAAAATTGATACAACCCACTGACAAAGAGTGTTAAAGTCATTAAAACTTAAATAAATTTGAAAGAAGTATATGTGAGTGTAGGTTAATATGATTAAGGATGAGTATGATCTCCGGTTGAAGGAGGTGCAGGAGCGTTTGGAAGAGATTGCAAGAGAAGTCCATTACCCCAAGAAGACCATTCGTAGTAATGTATGAATAATGGTCTGCAATCCACTCCTCCTGGTTGAGATGTTACAAAAATGATTAGAACAAGGAGCAGAACTCTGAAAAGGATCATTCTATAAGAGAAAGCCATGTCTTTATGATCTCTTGAGCTTTGAATTAAGAGTTTATTGTATGTATGTTTGAATCAATTTGTATATGATGAAATATGTTGTTGTTTGATGAAAAAAGAGACACAATGCATTTATATATAGGGAGTGAAATTGAATTGTTTATTGCTTTTATTTGACTATGAGTGGTTTGAATATTGAAAATTTGGAATAGCAATACCTTGGACTCACCCATATTTACGCGCGACCATATCTCACTAAAACATGACCAATTCAATAAATTGAAAGAGTATACACTCTAACGTCCTTCTAGGTTGCTTTATTAATTCAATCAACAAATATTTACTATTAATGTTTTTATGTGAAATAACAGTTTTTATGGGAATAAAAAATAGTGTTTTAAAAACCGAATCAAATGATGAACCGTTAAAATATATAAATCAAGATTTAATCGATTCAACCACGTAAATTGTAATTGAATCGTATATTAAATTTAATTTAAAACAAATATATAAATATAAGTAAAATATCATTTTTGGTCTCATATGTTTACTTCAAAGTTCATTTTGGTCCTTTAATTTAAAAAAAAAAGTCATATTGGTCATTTAATTCTTCAAAACGTTTCATTTTAATTCTATTTGTCCAATTAGTGACGGGAAAACTCATAAATCAATCGCTAAATTCGTCAATAATTAGACAAAAATGACTAAAATAAAACTTTTTGAAAAGTTAAGAGACTAATATAAATCTTTTTTTAAATCTAGGGACTAAAATAAACCTTAAGGTAAACATACGGGGTCCAAAAGGGTATTTTGTATATAAATATATTATTAAATTTTTTTAATAAAGTTAATTTATATCATAATTTATAAAATAAAATTCTCAAATAAATATAGTACTAATAAACAAATTTGCAAAAGAAGAAGAATGTAATATGCACAAATACTAGGTTATTTCTTCTCCTTCTATTTATATTTACATTCTCTCATGTCTTTCAATGTTATTCATTATTTTTTATCTATACAATTTTAAGTGTTTGTTATAATTAATTTTTTTAATTTAAATAATGAAAAGTAAAATCGGTCCCTGTTCACCCAAACTGGTCTCAGTTCTAGGGTTATTTTGATTTTTTGCAATTGAAGCGGTTTTATCCCAATTTTATAGATCTAGCAATTTATTTATCCAAATCGAACTGGATTAGACAACGGTTCAAAGTTGAACCGATTGAATCGACAGGTTCAATCCGATTTTTAAAACATTGATAAAAAGTACTCCCTTCGTTTCACAATATGTGTCATCTTTTTTTTTATTTGTCTCAAATTATTTGTCCCTTTAAAATATCAATGTATTATTTATTATTTTTTCCACTAATTTACCATTATTTATTATATTTTAAATCATGTAAATACTCCGCTACCTGTTATTAATAAAGTTATTTTAATAAATTATATTTATTTTATCATTAAAATCAACACAATTAATTATTATCTTAAAAGTGTGAAAATCTAAAAAAAGAACATGTATTGCGAGAAGGAATGAGTATTATTTAAGTTAGTTGAGTCTCAAATTAATCTATAATAGTTACTATTAATATTTTTATGGAAGTAGACTTCACAATTGTGGATGCTTGTTTTCTTTGCTAGTTGCTTATTCGCTTTTTCTTGTTGTATCTAATTTTTTATTTATAATTAATGAAGTATTTCGTTTATTAAATCTATGTGCTATTTCCCTTTTTATCTCTTGATTTATATGCTAAGATGTAATTTCTTTTATGTTAATTTTTGTTTGTCATTTTGATTATGATAAAGGGGGGGAAGAATATTCCCAAGGAGAATAGGGTATACTCTCTATATTTGTTAGGGGGTGTTTAACCACTTCAATCTTATACAGTTATTTCATTGTTTGTTCAACTCTCTGAGAGATGTGTTTTCATCATCAAAAAAAGGAAGAATGTAGATCTATGTGCTTGTCGGTATAATGTTTATAGTTGTTAGATGACCTAAATAATTTTGATGATGACAACACAATAAGGTGAAGTTTTAATCAGAAGTTATGATCAAGTTTTTATGCTTGGGAGACCAAAGATGTCAAAGTAATTCTCTTAAAGACGACACCTAATATCAAGCGGCGTTTAGTGGAATCCATGATGTTCTTTAGTCAAGAAAATCTGTCTGATAATGGTGTCTATCAAGAAGTCTTATCAAGCCTCGTCAGATAGAAGAAGTCAAGTCTCAAATGAAGTGATGAATCATTGATCTATCTAGCAAGGGATCTTGAAGATTTAGAGATTGTGAAAGAGAGGAAGTGTGGAAGCTTCCCAAGTATGTGTCTGAATGATCAAAGTCTTGTAAAAGATATTAAAGTAACTCTTCAATTATTAAGGTAATGCACACACTCATCCTAAAGTATTTTTAACCTCTCTATTTGATAAAACTTTTTAAAATCCTCATAGAAAACATCAATGTGCTCGTGAGATTGATCAAGGGTGATCCAAAACATTTTGGAGGCTTATATACATTGCCTAATTGATTAAGGCTCTTAGTAAATTGATTAGAGCAAGTCATAAATCTTCCTAATTTATTAAGAACACTTAGTCGACTAGAACACTACTCTTTGTAGGTTTTCCTTTTGGAAAATCAGGGTTGTGGTTTTTATGAAGCACATAATCGACTAGACCTAATGCATAATTGATCATGTGTATTAAAAAGTCTATGGATAATTTTCCTTTTTGATCTAGATTTCTCGCCTATAAATAAAAGGCTCTCCTACCTTTTAAATCACACCAGAAAACGTATTTTGAGATACTTTGTTCCTTTATACTCATTTCCTTATCATTTCTTTCATTTCACTAAAATTGCCTTAGTGCTTTAAAAGTGAAAAATACTAGCGAGACATTTCTTGTGGTTTCTAGTGTTGAGGCATTATTGTAATTTGCATAAAATAAATTTATCTCTTGTGCCATATCTTTGAAAAGAAGTTGTTGTTTGGTTTGTAAACTTATCCAGTAAAAAATTTGTTTGGTAACTGAGATTATCCATGAAAATTTATGTTTGGTTCATGAGTGTCACTTGGTGTAAAAGCTCTCATTTTTGTTCACGAAAAATGTTCGTCAAAATCTTGGTTTGGTTTGCGAGTTACACATGGTATAAAATCTCTCATTTGGTTCTATGATTAGCCTAGTGTAAAATTTAGTGTTTTTTGTTTTGGAGAATAGCGAGTGTAAAACTAAACTCTTTTTAATATTTGTGTGTAACTTGTGAAAATGTCGCATCTATAGTGAAAACTCTTAAGAAGAAATTCTTAAGGAGAGGAGTATATCAAGTGGTTAGGTTGAACCTCTATAAATCTATGGTGATTTGTTATCTCTTTTTGCTTTCGCTATTTATCTATTTCCAAAGTGCTTAAATATCTTCCTCATTTTAATATTGTTTTATTTATTTATTCCACTACTTACTTTTTTTTTTATTACAAAGTTGTTTTAAACAATTCTTTTTATCAAATTTTAATTGGACATAGTTTTTCAAAGAACATTAATTCATCTTACCCTTATGTTTAGAGTCACTTGTCCAATAGTATAAATCCCTTAAAACATAGTTGTTGTGATTGTAACCAATGTTCAAGAGTTTGTTTGCCTACTGTTGTACCCCAAAATTTGTCCTCTCATTTTTCAAGGAATCACCCTGGATCCTCAAGTTTGCTTCCATCCAATTATAAGCCTTGAACTACAAATTTTTCAAAGAAAATCACTCACAAGGGCAAAATGGTCATTTGCACACTGAAAAGTCAAACTTTGACTTTTGGATCAAAATCAAGCTTCAAGAATCATATTTCATCAAGACACGTTGAAATATGAATTTTGTTTCATCAAGAAATCCAAAAAGCCAAATTTCTAAATACTTGGAATTTTTCTAAGTGTTTAAGAATTATGACAATTTCAGAACTTCTGACCAAGTTATCACCATAACGCTCAGTAAATTCTGGACACTCTCAAGGCAGAGTTTGGTCAGAACTTCTGGGCAAGTTTTCACAAAAAGCTTCAGTCAGAGGTTGCAAACATGGTTCAGAACATGATGCTTCAATCAGAATATATGGAAGCAATGTTCTCTGGTTCATAACATGGGGCTTTAATCATAACATGTGGAAGCAATGTTCTCGTTCAGAACATGCTGGGGCCAGAAGATAAAAAGATCAGAGGATGGATGCTACGCTAAAGCAAAACTTCTGATCCAGAACTAAGCCTTGGTGTAGAATCTCACATGGCAGGATTTCTGGTTGTGATAAGTCTCATCGTCATTAAAGCTCACAACCACTTTTTGAGTCTTTATCCAAAGGATTTCCACCACGTGTACCCCTACTGCCTTGGGAAGACAAACTTTTGTGCAAAAGTATGCTAAGCCCATGCGCTGCTTCTACTTTTCCTTAATTCATGCTGACAAATCCAGCTTAGGCGCTGCTAACCATCCTACTTGATGCATTGAACCATGCTTGTTTAAGATTACTTCAAGAGTAAGTCAGCTTCTAGCATATGACGTTGGCGCCACTTGACATCTCCAAACTACAAAACCTTTGCCTATAAATAGAACTCCATTGGCAACTGGAAAAGGGGGGAAATTTGAGAAAGAAAAGAGTTGAACCCCTGCTAAAATTCCAAGACTCCAAAAGAGAGAAGAGGAAACAGGGACAACCTTCGCAAATCCAAAACAAAACCTTTTGCTCCCCCCCTTTGAATCAAAGAACACAACCACTCTTCCGTTACTCTTGCTGATTCCAGAACATCCAAAGGTAGCAGCTCAAAGCTCCAAGCCCCTGCTCCAGGTTCAAGGTAAGTCTTTCTGACTTTGCTTGTTTTTCATTCTGAACATCATTAACATGTAAGTATCATAGTATTGATGTTGTCCATATCATTGGATAAGTAGAAAAATTGTGGATCAGAACTTCTTGATTAGGGCTAAGTTCATATTTAGGATTAGAACTTTTATAAATTGTTGTGTTGTTATCCTTCTGACTTGCTGATTGTTGAAAA